TCTTTTAAAGTTGGCTGAGGAATTCTGGGAGTTGAAGTCCACAAGTCCTTTAAAGTTGGCCGAGGAATTCTGGGAGTTGAAGTTCTCCAGGCTTAAAGTTGCCAAGGTTGGAGAGCCCTGAATTAAACAATTGTTTAAATTCCCTGTAAAGCTTCCCCCAAAGTCAAACTGGTGAAGTCACTTGACCGAATGAGGGTGGGTTTGCAGCCCTCACGCTAAGCTACGCAAGTTGTGGTTGTGAGAAATGAACCACCCGTAGTAAATGTGGAGTACGAATTAAACCATGGAATTGGGGGGGGGGTGTTGGCAATTGAGCTTTTGCCTGCAAATATATTTAATTGGAGAACGTGATTGATGACACCCAGCTCATGAAGGTGCTCAATTGGAGAATCTGATTTATGACCCAACCAGGGGGGAAGGAGGGGGGGCGAACAGGGTCCCAGGGAACTGTAAATGCCGTTGGCTTCATACAGGGCAGGGCCAGTAGGTCGTCTCTAATGAATCCTTTGAAGTTTATGGACGTTTGGCTTGAGGTGATTTAATTAGGGCGATTGCTGGAATCCTGACAATGACCTCTTGAGGTCCCTCCAGCCGCACCTCCCCACCTAATTTCCCAAAGCGGTTTCCCTCGATTTGCGAAGGACCAGGGGAGACACGATAGCGGTCTTCCAATATTTGAGGGGCTGCCCCAGAGACGAGGGAGTCAAACTATTTTCCAAAGCGCCCGAAGGCCAGCCAAGAAATAATGGATGGAAACTGAACAAGGAGAGAGATTCAACCTGGAAATAAGGAGGAATTTTCTGACAGGGAGAACAATCAGCCCATGGAACAGAAGTTGCATTTGGAAATTGTAGGAGCTTTCAACATTGGAAGCTTTCAAGAAGAAGAACTGGAGAGCATTTGTCAGAAACGGTGTAGAGTCTCCTGCTTGGGTGGGGGGTTGGACTAGATGACCTACAAGGTCCCTTCCAACTCTGATGATCTGTTATCTGCTCCCTGTACTGGGATGGCAGGTGCCCCAGCTCTGCCGAGAGAAATATTGACCAAGCTAACACCCTTGGGCAAGATTGCTGGAGCCTCTTTTTTTCCACCCCGTTTGAAATCTTGGCTTCTTCTGAGCTGCCGTCCTCTTCCCTCAAAATAAAGACGGATTTGGGGCCCGATTTAAATCTGAAAGAGCCGGAAAGACGAGCGGTGGGAAAAGAGGCGGTATGGCCAGAAGAACATCCCAACATCCGTTCCTCACAACAAGAAGGATGGGGTCAGGAAAGGCACCTAGAGAGAGGCTGGACTACAAGACAGCCAGACACAAAGGATGCTGCCTTCGCGCACCATGTGCGCTAAAATACTGTATATCAGGCTGATTTGCAGATCAGGGTTTGTTTGTTTTTTTTCCAGAAGGGGGAGAAAGACAATAGATCATTGGAAACCAGAAAGAAAGAAAGAAAGAAAGAAAGAAAGAAAGAAAGAAAGAGAGAGAGAGAGAGAAAGAAAGAAAGAAAGAAAGAAAGAAAGAAAGAAAGAAAGAAAGAACCCCACTAAGCAAACATCACAAAAAACATTTTGACCAAATCTGACACTTTCCAAGTCCACTGAGGGGACTACAACTCCCTTCATCCCCAGCGCCCAGGACAGGTTTAAATCCTCAACGTACAGCCCCAAGGGAGCCCAACGTTTCCAAAAATTTAAAATGGCTGTTAAAAGTGAGGGTTTTTTTTGCCTTCCCCGTTTTTTAACAGCCTTTTTGGCAATGCAAAGTCGTTATGCGAATTGCCGCCATTCTTAAGCGAATTTGTTGTTAAGCGAATTTGTTGTTAAGCAAATCTGGCTTTCTGCGTTGGCTGGGAAGGTTCGCAAATGGCCATGACAAATGACAACACATACACACCCCAGACTGCTACAACCGTTCTAAATACAAGCCAGCGGCCTCCATTTCGATCACACGATTGTCAAGAATGCTGCAAAGTGCGAAAAACCTTCCACGACGTTGCAACTTCGGTCACTAAATCAGCCGTCGTCAATCAAGGACTACCTGTAAGCTGAGAGGGAACATTAAGCCTCGCTCTCGAAACCCCGGACCTGCAGATGGGTACTACCTGTCCCTCACCTGGCCTAAGCCACACCTACAAGCCTCCTCTTGTGGGAGGGGCCACCCAGAATGTCTCATTTGCACGCAAGGAGTCCTTGGGAGAGCTGGCATGGATTTTGCCCTGTGCTATGCCCTGCCAGAAAGCATTTCCTGGTCGTAAGTCAAGTTGTTTTGTTGTTTTTTTAAATTCTTGCACCTGCTCAACAATAAAACCTGGGGATTTTCCAGCTTCTTCAGCCATTCTGCCTTCTCTTGTTGACAGGTGCTGCTATTGCTTTGGCTAAAAAAAACCAAAAAATTCCTTCTTAGGCTCACACTTGGTTGCTCAGGGCAAAACCCCATCAAGAGGTGCTATGCCACCCTTGGAAGGAAATTATCCCGGTTTCTGATTTGATAGCCTTGGTGGGTTTTTCCGCCCACTCCGGAGCAATAGATGAGCAGGAGAGGAAGCAAGGGTTAACCGTGCGGTGCCAATGACAGGATGATGACCTCAGCTAAAAAACAAAAAACAAATCCAAGATGGATCTTGACAGACTCGAACACTGGGCCCTATCTAACAAAATGAAATTCAATGTAGAGAAAAGTAAAGTCTTAGCACTTAGGCAAGAAAAACCCAAAGGACACAGATAGACTGGGTGAAACCAGGCTCAATAGCAGGAACTGTGAGGAGGATCTTGGAGTCTTAGTGGACAACCAGCTAAATGGGAGCCAGCCGTGTGCAGCAGCAGCCAAAAAAGCCAATGCAATCCTAAGTTGTATTAACAGAGGGAGACAATCGAGATCAAGGGAGGTACTAATACCCCTCTGTAAAGCCTTAGTAAGGCCACACCTAGAGTCCTGCATCCAGTTTTGGCCACCAGACTATTAAAAAGAGGTTGAGACTCTGGAAGCAGAGAAGAGCAACCAGGATGATGAGGGGACTGGAGGCTAAAACATAGGATGAACGGTTGCAGGAACTGGGCCTGGCTAGTCTAGTGAAGAGAAGGACCAGGGGAGACAGGAGAGCATCTTCCAATATTTGAGGAGCTGCCACAGAGAGGAGGAAGAGGTCAAGCTATTCTCCAAAGCACCTGAAGGTCAGACAAGGAACAATGGATGGACACTGAACAAGGAGAGAGATTCAACCTGGAAATAAGGAGAGATTTTCGGACAGTGAGAACAATCAATAGAACAGAATTTTCCTTCGGAAGTTGTGGGAGTTTCATCCCTGGAGGCTTTCAAGAAGAGACTGGACTGCCATCGGTCAGAAATTGTGCAGGGTCTCCTGCTTGGGCGAGGGGTTGGACTAGATGACCTCCCTTCCAACTCTGTTCATCTGTTAAACCCCCACCCCCCTTAAGCTTGAAGTTGGTTCCCAGGGCAAAACCCCACCAAGAGGGGCCACGCCACCCTTGGAAAGAAACTATCCCAGCTTCCAATTTGACAGCCGGTGTGTTTCTCCACCCTGTCCCGCTCCTGAGTAATAGGTGAGTAGGAGAGGAAGCAAGGGGTTAACCGCACGATGCCAACCCACCTTGCAGGGCATCTGTGATGTCACTTCCAAAACAGCATCACGTGGCACAAAGACGTAGTTGGCACGATGGCACAATCGGAGTAGGGAGGGCACCGCCGCCTCTTAGCGGTGACTACCATTTGTGGGGGGAGGGGGCTTCCCCTGAAAGAAAAGGGGGCAGGGGGGGTGTGCCGTTTTTTTTACGACACCCACCGAGCCTCGAAAGGAGCCTCTTCAAAGAGATGCGCTTCTAAAGGAATCCGTGACTCCCGTCATCCTCAGCCGCCATAAAAACCCGGCTGGTCCCCCTCTTGGAAAATTTAAAGTGAGTGAAGAACCTCCCCGTTACGTTTTTTTTCAGGAAATAGTAAACAACCAAGCAACAGAAGAGAGCATTTGTAGCTCAGGGATGAAGTGTGGAGCGCTTGCTGCTCTCTAAGGTTGCGAGTTCTAGTCCTGCCTTTAGGCCCCGCAAAGCCCGCTCTCTTCCAACACTGAGGATGTCACCTAGTTGGGTAAATGAAGCGCCTGCAAGGAAAGCCCCAATCTGAGAGAGCACCAAGGACCACAAAATTGCCATCGTCCCTTGCCTCCTCTCTGCAAACCCCGCTCCCTGCTAGCACGGATGATGTTACCTAGTTGGGTAACGAAACATCTGCAAGAAACGGGAAAAAAACCAAAAACCCAAGGACCCGACAGCAAACAACAGCCGTTATCAAGGAACCACAAAGAACACTCCCCACCAACACACACAGGACAAACCACTCCTTTATAAGCAGAGAGCACCCCCCCCCCCCACTTCCCTTCTAGCACGGATGACGTTACCTAGTTGGGTCACAAAACGTCTGACAGTGAAACGGCCAAGCTCAGAGAAGCACCAAGGACCCCTCCCACAAGTTAAATTTGTCTCCGTTTGGTGTGTTGGTGTCTTGACAAAGCCTCAAGCTTGGATCGGGAACAGAACAAGCAATTCCAACCCACACAACCCCCCCCAACAACAAAAAGGATTTTAAGATTTGCCCGGTGGGCAAAACCAAGTGGGCCCTCACACGTCCCGGAGACAAATCTTTTTTTCTCAAGTTGCAAACTGAAACGAAGAGCCTTGGACAGGGTTGAGGGACTCGTCCCCTCACCGTTGGGGAGTTCCCACCCCCCATTCCCCCGCAACAGCAGCTGCCGCTATACGTTGGATATCTTCTGGGCCTCTTTTGCCTGCCGGAGTCCATAAAGCCACTTAATGACCCGAGCATTGCGTTCGACGATGGAGATGCCGTACGGCATGCGTTCCGCTTGCCTGTCCTCCACGGTGATGGTGCTTCGCTGGGACGGAGTCCCGGCTGAGCTGCTGGTGCTGACGCTGTGGAACTTGACGGACACAATGTCCGAGCTGGCTCGAGTGAACCTCTCCATCTCCATATCCCCGACGTCTTCGGGATCCAAGCCGCAGTAGTTGAAGAAGCGTTCCAAGTCGGCCGTGGCCCGCGAATATCGGTCGCTCAAGTCTGATTTGGACCGGTGTAACAAAGTCTGCCGTTTGGCGCTATCGGTCTGCGGCTCTCCCCTCGGGCTTGGGCAGCGGAGAGGGGTGGCAGGCAGGTTTTGGGGGGGCGCAGGCGGGACAGGGAGCAGAGACAGTTGGATAGCGGGGGGACTTCTGGCCATCGACACCCCGCAAGGCCGGACGTCCACTCGGCGGACGGCTACGGTGCTGGACGGCTTGGAAGATGCTGAACTTTGAGAGTGTTTGCTGATGTCGGTCGCGGCCTTGTTCTTAGGGGTGGAAGGCAGGCTGTCCAGATTCCGGCCGTGGACCTTGGGAAGCCACGGACTGTCCGAAGGGCTCTGCTCTGGCTTGGGGAAGGCAAGGGGACTGTCGCAAAAATTGATCAGGTTGTTGAGGATTTCCAAGTTGAGGGACGATTTGGCGCCGCCGCCTTCTCCCCGCCGGCCCGCTTGAGGGACCTTCCGGTTGGGGGCGAACATTGCCCGCCTGACCCCGGGGGTGAAGAGGGGCTGCTTGAGCACCAACGGCCGGACAGGGTTCTGTTTGGTGGTGGCCACTTGTTGGCTCTTGACGTACTTGGCTTTGTCCGCTTCCAGGCGTTCCACGGCGCTGAGCTTCCGGGAGACGCTGGCCGGGGGCCGGCGAAAGTATTCAGGCCCCTTGTTGAGGATGCGGAAGGGCATGGCGGAGGTGAAGGGGGCCGTGGCCGTCACTGTGGCCATGCCACGGCTGGCTTGGAAGGTCTCCACCGGCATGGCGAGCTGATTTCACCCCCCTCCGGCTTCCACGAGACTTCTTGCGTGACAATTTCCTTCACACCCACCCCAGGGAAGGATTCACATGCCCTGGGCTGGCTGGTCAGCTGTTGTCAAGCACTCTTATTGGTGGGGGAAGGCAGCTTTCCCAGACGGACAGGCAGCCTGCAAAGGAGAGAAGGCAGAGAGATCGGCAGCTCACAATCTCTGTTGGCGGGGAAGGGCAGCTTTCCCTGACGGACAGCAGCCTGCAAAGGAGAGAAGGCAGAGAGATCGGCAGCTCCCAGGCTCTGTTGATAGGGAAGGGCAGCTTTCTCAGACGGACGACAGCCTGCGTAGAGGAGAAGGCAGAGAGACCAGGGGTTGCTCTCTCTCCTAGCGCAGCCCCAGGCTGTGCGAGCAGCTTTCCCAGACGGACAGGCAGCCTGCCAAGGAATCAAGGCAGAGAGATCGGCAGCTCCCGATCTCTGTTGGCAGGGAAGGGCAGCTTTTCCAGACGGATGTCAGCCTGCCAAGGAGAGAAGGCAGCGAGATCGGCAGCTCCCGGGCTCTGTTGAATAGGGAAAGGGCAGCTTCCCCTGACGGACGGGCAGCCTGCAAAAAAAGGAGAGAAGGCAGAGAGAAATCAGGGTTTTCCTAAGCACCTCTGCGAGGAGCTTTCCCAGGCGGACGGCAGCCTTGCAAAAGGAGTAGATGATCTCCGGGGCTTTTTCTCTCTCTCTCTTCCCTCGACTCGTCTGCAGACAAAGGCAGCAGCAACAGCAGCAGCTGGGCGAGGAAGAGGAGGAGGAGGAGGAGGCAGCGAAGAAGACGGAGCGCCCGCTTGCCTATTTCAAGGGGCAGGCCCCGCCCACCCCTCTCCGTGGGAGGGGGGGGCCCTCCCGGCCAGCCAATCCGCAGCGGCGGGGCCACTTCGAATTGCCAGCTCTGACCTATCACGAGGAGGCGGAGGAAGCCCGCGGGGGGGGGGGAGGGGGAAGGGGAGATGGGGAGGGGGATGCTCCTCCTGGTCCCCCTCCTCCTCTTCCTCTTCCTCCCTCCTAGCCCCCCTCTTTTCCAGCACTGACAATGTTCCCTAGTTGGGTCATGAAGCTCCGAGAGCACCAAAGACTCCACAGCCCTCCTGCTCCTCCTCCTCCTTGCATCTCCACTGCCTTTCAGCCCTGATGATGTTACCTAGTTGGGTTATGAAACGTCTGCAAGAAAACTCCCAGGCTCAAGATAGCATCAAGACCCCACAGTCTTCCTCCTCCGTGCAAAGCCCCACTGCTTTCTAGCACTGACAACGTTCCTCAGTTGGGTCAAGAAACGCTATCCTGTGAAGCAAACCCCCACCGAGCTCCGAGAGCATCGAAGACCCTCAGAGACCCTCAAGTCGTCTTCCTCCTCCTCCTCCTCCTTCTTGGAAGCTCCACTGGTTTCTAGCACTAGTTGAAGAATGAAATGTTTTCAAGAAAACAGCCAAGCTCAGGGTGCATCAAAAATCCTACAGTCTTCCTCCTCCTCCTCCTCCTCCTTCCAAACCCTGACATCACCTGC